TTAGCCCACTGCGATAATTCATCCTCACTGATATTAATACCAAATAATTTGCTCTTAGTGAGATTAAGTCTAAGGCCTGACATTACTTCGAAAACCCGAAGAACCCTCTTCACATTAAGGAGCTGTGTCTTCGAAGCAGTACAAAAAATTATAAGATCATCTGCGAATTGCAAATGAGATAAATTCAGAACAACCTCATCTTTGCCAACCACCAGACCAGAAAACAAACCTTCAGCAACTGCCTTTAACAGCAGTAAGTTTAAGAGCTCTCTAACGAAATTAAACAGCAAAGGGGACAGGGGGTAGCCCTGCCTAAGACCTCTAGCCATAGAAAATTCATCCATAGGGACCCCATTAACTAAAACAGACACCGAAGCTGTAGTAACACATTTACGAATCCAGCCGCACCATTTTGAACCAAACCCCATCTTAGACATAACTTTGAAGAGAATATCCCAATCAACGGTGTCATAAGCCTTCTTGAAATCCACCTTAAACACACAGCCCTTTAAACCTTTCTTCCTCCAAAAGTCAATGCCTTCATTTGCAATAAAAGAACAATCTAGAATTTGTCTCCCAGGAATGAAAGCATATTGAGAATCACTAATAATATCATTCATGCAGCCTCTCAATCTTCTCGAAAGGCACTCGGACAGAATTTTATACATCCCTCCTACTAGGCTAATAGGTCTGAAGTCATCCAACCCCCCATTATTAGAACCCTTTGGAATAAGAGTGATGAAAGAATGATTGATGCCGTGTTCCCAATTTTTTCCCAAGAAAAAATTGTGGAAAAATTTCAGGATATCACCTTTCAAGGTTGGCCAATTTTTTTTGAAAAAACCCAAGTTCAACCCATCTGGCCCAGGCGCTTTGTTACTATCACACGAGTTAATGGTATCCCAAATCTCAGCTTCCGTAAACTCCTTCTCTAGCAAAAGAGACTGCTCCACAGAAATTCTAGCAAAATTCAACTGAATATCCTCCACTTCCAAAGTTGAACAACAATTAAAAGCTTTGAAGAAATGCTCTTTGATAGAAGTCTTAATAAGAGAAGGATCTTTGATAGTAACACCATCAACTTTAATAGCGTTTAGAGAATTTAGCCTCCTTCTAATGCTGGCACATGTGTGAAAATATCTAGAATTACGGTCTCCATCTTTAACCCACTTCTCTCTTGAGTTTTGGAGCCAGATTCGTTCCTCAATCCTGTAGAGTCTCCAAAGTTCGATCCTGCAAGACCTCAAATCTGCTAAACAACCATTGACGTTTGGACTTTGGTTTTGATGACTCATAATTTCCAGCTGGTGAATCTTGTCTTCTAAAGCAGTGATAGCATCACGAGGGAACTGATTCCTATTCCCCGACCAACTCTTTATCGCGCCCTTTGTATTCCTAAGAATACTCAAAATACCAGCACTTTTCTTGACCTTCTTGAATTCCTTAATGGAGTCTGTAATCACCTCCTCAAACCCATCTTCAGACATAACATAGCTAAACAGCCTAAAAGGCCTCTTGCCCCAATTATCTTCCCCACACTCCAAACTAATTGCATTATGATCAGAGATAGATTTAGGCAATAACGATTGGGTTATGCCTATAAAAGCTGCAGAGAAACTAACATTCACTAGAAATCTGTCAAGTCTAACAACAATGGGAAAGTCCCGATTGCTACTCCAAGTAAAATTTCCCCCAATTAAAGGCAAATCAATTAGCCCCGATTGCTGAATAAAAAACCTGAAGATATCCATGGAATTTCTGTTCTGTAAACGACCTTCCTTCTCATCTTCTGCTAAATATGCATTGAAATCCCCTCCCACACACAGAGGAATACTATACCTGTTTAAAAACAGACCCAGTTCTTCAAAAAAAACTAGCCTTTTCTTCTTCCACAGATGGAGCATAAACATTAATGAAACCACATCTAGCATGGTTAGATATGATCTTCCCGAAAACAACAATAAACCTCCTGTGGATAAATTGATCTTCTAGCTCAAAAAAATTATCATCCCAACAACTTAACAAGCCTCCTGAAGAACCTGCTGCTGGAGACACAGCTAGTCCTTGCAATTTATTCAACCCACTTCTCCTAAGAAAAGAGCTTGGTAAAGACTCACATTTAGTTTCTTGTAAGAAAAGAAACGATGGTTTTTTCTCAGTAACTAATTTTTGAACAGCACTCTTTTTTTCTTTTTTGCCCAACCCCCTAACGTTCCAAGACAACATAATAAACTTTGACATCAGCAAAAATGAAAAGCCCAAACAGAACCAAGCTACATCCACGAAATCAGGAAACCCCTCTCAAACCTTTCTCCAGGTTAACAATTTTATCCAAAAATGTCTTCTTCCCCTCTTTGAATGAAATCCCTAGAATTTTACTAACTTCCCATGAAGTCAAAGCTTCCTCCAAGAAAATCGAGAAATTAGAAGAAGACACCGTAAGAATACCAGCCACATCCAAAGCTTCCCTAGTCAAAAGCCTTCTCCTTCTTCTATACTCCTTCCTTACCACTGATTCACACCGACTCCCTGAACCAACTTCTGCTGCACTCCTAGCTTGCTGAAGGTTGTTTACTACTGACTTGTACCTTGTACCACCTTCCACCTCCACCTCTGAGGGTCTTCCCTCCAAATTAGTGGGGAAAGATTGGATACTTAAGAGAGGCTTACTGATATTCTTGTTAAGATCCATCAACTCCAAAGATTGCATTGCCCCCTCCTCTCGACTCAGGTTAAACCATACCTTTCTTTCTCTAGATCTTCTATATACTCTAGATATAGCACCACAGCTCCATCTTCCAATCGATGCATTTCTAATATGCATACTCCTAGATAAATGTTCTAATGGACTCCAACTTTTAAGACCATTTACAAAAAACTCATTGTTGTACCTGACCCCTGATTACTGCCCGAGGGAACTGACCTTGCTTCCCTAACCACCAATACTTCCTCCGCACTGCCGACTTCCTTGACCAGAGCTTCTGACTTTCCTAACATGTCTTTATTTGACTCTTTTAAAATACCACTCGGCTGAGACTGTAATCCTACCTTATCCCCATCACTTGTCGAAATTGTGTTGTGATCAGATGAAACAATAGCCAAATTCTGCAAATTAGGTTCAAACAAAACAGATGGTTGCTGCTCTCCTACTGCCTCCACCCAAGACTCTTTAAGAACACCATAGCCCAATTTATTTAATTTCATAGTTGGCCCAGAAATAGAAATTCTAGAGTTAATTGAGTTGGGCTCACTGAAGTCCTCTGACTGGGCTTTATCACAATCATTAAACAAGTCATTCCTTAACCCAAGACCTCGGTAATCCCCTTCCAAATTCAAATTTTTCCTTGGAAATTCTGACACCTTTGCACCACTATGTTGACCTTCTTTCTCCTGCAACATTAAATGCTACCCCCCTTTGCCGCCTCCCATTGTTGAAACATCCACCCTTACCAACTCTTTACCCCCCGACTCTGATGTACCAACTTCTCCTACCAGCCTCCTGTCTACTATATCCCTAGACTCCACAGCTAGCAATTCTAGGCCACCTACCCCGCCTGAGTTCCGATCATCTACCTCCTCTGAAGAAGCTTCATCTCTGAACTCACCATCACCGATCACCGGCCACCGTATAGTTTTTTGCAGAAAAACTCTCTTGTTTAATGCTTATCGATCCCACACTAGTTTTAACCTTAAATGATCTCCCATACGAGCCCAATGTAACAGTTTCATGAATATCAAAAGGACTGGCCACCCTCAATAAAACTCGTGCCACCGCTATATCCTCTCTATTGACCGTCATCTCGTGAAAACACACCAGCTTCCCCCACCTTGATACAAGCTTTTCCAGAAATGGGACATCCCAACAAAGTAAAGGGATTCCAACTAAATCAACCGAGCAAAATGCCAACGGAACACCGTCAGCATTCATAACCGAATCTAACCAGTCGAACCAAAAGAACAATTCCTCCTGCCTGCTCGACCATGCCTCTTCAAAATCTTCCATCGAACTAAAAATAAGAATACAGGAGTTCCAAGTGTAACCCCATTTAACACCCTTGACCTTAATCCCCTCACCAGCCAGCCCCTTCACTACTATCTCCAAATCTAAATGAGGTTTGATAATCCCAGTCAAAGATCTTTTCACCCAATTGTAATCATCCGGGGGAATATGCATCTCCCACAAATTCCTCCTCCCAGTAACCTCACCTAAGAAGCCCTCCTGAATCTCTTTGCTCGCTGGAATTTCCTTCTGCCCATCAACAGAGACAACCGCTTCCTTAAGCAATCTTTCAAAACTTCCCGCCCTATCATGCTTCGCTCTATCCTCCACATTCACCACCTCCTTATACGTTCTGCCGTCCCTCGGGCTATTCAGCTTCTCCAAACCACCCTGCTGCCTACCTTCCTCCCCTCTCACTTCTCAATTGAAAGCTAGACTTGCTGCTAAAAAATATGCTCAAACTTATGGAGTGGACTATGATGACACTTTATGCTCTTATTGCTAAACTTGCTACTGTCAAGTTATTTATCTCCCTCGCATCAATTTTCGACTAGCCTCTGTATCAATTAGACATAAAGAATGCCTTTTTCATGTGATATTTAGGAGGAGGTATACATACAGTGGGAAAGTATGTCATCTGCAAAAATCACTATATTGCTTGAGACAGTCATCCATGTTAAGCAGACATAATCAATTCTTTTTTATTTTGCTTGATGTCAAAAACCAAGTGAAGGACTTTGTTATAAAGTTATTATGATCAAGCCTTTACAAGTTACAATGGGCATAATCATACAACTGTAAGTGTTGAAGAAAACTAGCAAATCAAGAACATACTAATAGGCAACAGCAAGAACACAGCTCCAGAACTTTCTTGTATTAGTAGCATTTTATTTATGAAGTTCACCAAAGTAGTAGAAATACAAATAACTGCCACACGAATGAATTTAATCATCTTTTTCTTGTAATACAAATACCTCAAGATTTAGTAAATGAATTTCACCTTTGATGATAGTAAGCATATTGAGGATGCCATTGCTTGCATCACATCAACCGCAGAGCTGACAGCATCCTTCAGATTTTGGATATCTGCCTATCATGAGAGAAAACAGAGAAAGGGAAGAGAAAAAAGAGCAACATTTTAAACCATATTGATAGTCATGTGCTGAATCGTTGATAGATTGAATATTGAAAAGTTGCAAAATTAAAAACTGGAAGAAACTTACTATCGCTTTTCCAATAACCGGAAGACGGAGAACACTGGCCTTTAAAGCTTCGGTCTGTCCTAGCAAAGCGCTAGAGTGGTGTCTATCAAGGATGGCCCATTCTTCTAAATAAGCTATCTGCAGTCACCAATTATAGTGAATTTTTAGTCCCAAGGAAAAGAAAATTCATGCTGTAAAAGCCGGTATCTAGAAATTGAGAACAAAAAGGAACTAGATCTGTTCTAAGAACCACACAGTAATCGGAGAATCAATGACACCAAATTGAAGCAAACAACTATTTTTCTTCTAGGATTAAATACAATAGAACAAAATTTTCTTTTCTTGACTTTCTTTGATTTCTTATTTGATTGATTTCTATCTGTCTTACTCCGACTCCAGAAGTGAACAAAATTCCAACATAATTTAATAACTTAGCCATTCATTACTACATACAAGAATAATAATCCAATTTTCCTTTTTTCCATCTTTTACGTGTCTTAATTAGGACTAATATTCAGTACCTACTCATGTCGTGAAATGACTGGTGACTACTCTTCTAAAGCATGTTTCTAAGGCCAGGAAGCTCCCTCAGGCCAATTGCCGAAAAATAATAAATTCCTCGATACAACACCAAAGTCCTAATTTTGATAAATTTCATTATAATCAACGGTATTCCTAAAACTGTTGACTTTTTCACTTTCATGTGTATGGATGTCAATCAAAACCAAAGCAGTTCTGTTCTCAGCTATGAAAGCATATCCACAGAGTTGAATTACATGTACAAAGCAATAATATGAAGAAGGTAAAAAACATAATCAGATAGCTGTAAGTGCTTGTGCATACTGAAAGGTCAACAAGGATTCGATTCGATACTTTAGAAAAGTGAAGCTTTGAATCTTACTTGTCCCTTTAGGATGGAAGTCAATTTCAATTTTTGCCTCAGCAATAGCAGCTTGATTCTCTTAAGGGTAACAGAATGTCGCATTTCTGAAGTTGTTACCCATGCATTCCACAGATTTTTCTGGTATACAAGGAACACTAGAGATTTTTACATACTGGACTTATTAGAACTCATCATGTTAACTCAAATCACTGTTATCGATAAAGCTGAATTATTCCTGTTTATCATATATCAAAACCCAGTCGATCAACTTCCCCAACAATAATTCTCAATTACCAGAGAAGTACTTACATATTAAAGATTATTAGAATCCAAGCAATATATCTAATTCTACCAATATTCTAATTTTTGAGTAGGCCCTTTTAACTGACAGATAGTCGGTATCATTCACTTCTCTCAAGTTGATAACAGAATAAGAGTATCAAGGGGCAGTTGATGACAGACACTGATGCAAATCAAATCTATCGTTTAGTAATGTAATTCCATAGACTGTATCTATAATATCCACCTTTGCTCATCAAGTCCACTAAACCTTCCATTGTGCAAATTTTATAACAGCAGACAGAAAGTGAAAAGCTCTTTACAATTCATGGTCATAACAAGCACAATACATAAAATTAAGCAAAATTCTATTAAATTTTAAGATAACAAAGCTAAGTACTCTAGTACAATCAAAGTAGAGGAAAAACAGGCTCATGAACATTCATTCAGTATTACATCTTTCTCCGTGATTTTGCATCGTGTACTAGCTCTATTTTCAGCCTGTAGCAAATCATTGATTGCTATATTTAGACTCAAGATCCTTCCATCTCTAAATCTAATCTCTTTGTAGATATAAAACGGACATGAAAAACACTTACGTTACAACTATGCGAAACTCCAAATGGCAAGGTTAACAAAATGAAATGCAAACTTTCAGTATATAACTTCGGCAAAAACAGCACCTACAAAAAAATTTATAATGCCATATTTGAGAAGACTATGATCTTCACTAAAATCAAGCAAAATGTAAGCTTCCACTAGCATTAAAAGCCAGCTTACAGCTTGTTTGAAAACTATTACTATGAACTAAATTTGAGGATTCGCCAAATATTACAAACAAAAAACAAGTACGCATGTGCATTGATCATATTGAGAACCATGAGAGGGAAAATTAGTATACCTTTGCACTCAGTTTCTGCACCATGAAAGTAGCATCTTCCCTTGCATTTGCAAATCTCCATTGCAAGTAGCGATTATAAAGAAGCCTCAACATGTGTGCATCAACAATCCGATCATCCCCCAACTTTCCTCTTCGAATATCAGCAAAAAAGCTAATAATCGAAGGGGAATTAACGGAATTACCAATCATATGACCGCCAACCGCATTTCTGACACGAGCAGGACTTAACCCCCTCAATGGAGATGAAGCTGAAGATATCCAAAGCTTACTAGGAGAAGCAGGTCTTGTACCTCCCCTGATAGTAGAAGCCATTGTCGGCGGAGACGACACTGCACAGTCACTAGAAAAACTTTTTGACTGGGTGAACTTAGCTGAAGCACCAATTCTAGAACCAGGGCTTGTAGATAAAGGTAAACTCGGATCCTGTAATCGCCTCAACCAGCTGCTAGTTTCCTGCCAACACTTTGCAGACACAGCAATATTACGGGGTACAATCCTTCCTTTAGAAATCCCACTTCCCCCATAGTCTTGCTTGCCAGAATTGGTGCTCCCAGAGGACAAACTATCAGTATCAGAAGCAGTAAGATCACAAGGGAAAAAAGTAGCATCGTTTATAGAATTGGCATCTGGATTTTGCTTATTAGGCTCTTTTAAGAACTCAGCAGCACTTCCCAAATCCAAACTGAACCTACTAGACCCATCAAAAGAAGCTCTCCTACTACTGTCATCAAGCATAATTGATTGTTGCGATGACTTAGCCAGCATTGCACCAGATCCAGCCATCCTCCTTTCACAACTAGAATCCAAGCTTATAGACAACGAATTCGAACCCGAAACCGGATTCCCTTGCCGGATTCTCCCAGGCCAGCGGAGCTGATCCATTGGCTTTGAGTTATCCCCATGATCTCTCACTCGAGTGGCTCTACGTCTTTCAGGCGTTACTTTCCTAGTAGAACAAGGACCCACTTGAGCCTTTGTCTTGCTAATCGGAAGCGAAAAGGCTTCATCTTGAAACGAAACCGACAAACTTCTTGTTGAAGTAATCAACATATTGGAAGCATCTGACAATTCCGTGGCATTAGCATTGTTTCCATGCGACACTTGACCTCCGGGCCGCCTCCGGTCCACAGATTGAGACCGTTTAGGAACCGAAGGCAACGTAGCTGAAGTAGAGGTAACATTTGTTGAACGAGAAATAAGCGGAGAAGGATATCTCGCAGTCGTTTTGCTCCATGCTGCCGTCGTTTTGGCTGACATTGTCGTTGCTGCTGAAGAAGAAGAGGAAGATGAAGATGAAGTGGAAGGAGAATGAGACATATACCTCGAAGAAACTTGTCTCCCTCTGGGTTTTCTCGTAACAGTAGAGCCATTATCTTTTAGAGGATGCCTTTTTGTTGTTGAGGTTGAGGTTTCTTCTTGATAGGTATTTGGTTCTTCAACAGGGGACCGTGAAGGAGTAGATGGATGAGAAAATGCAGCCACCATCATCTGAGACTGCAAAAGGAATCTACTTTCTCTTCTACATTGCCATTAAAACAAATTTTGTTTTGTTAGGAGTAATGAGTCTTCAATTCCATGGCTAATGGAGAAGAACCCATAAAGGGGCTCTGAAGGATTCAGGATTTTACTTCAACAGCAGTGAAACCCACTCAGATTTTCTGGGTTCTCAGAGGGAAAAGTAAAACTTGATAGAAAGAGAGGAAAAGGAACAGATTCAGCTGCTCGCTTGGATTTGGGGTTTGTTAATCTTTAGAAAGACGGTAGGTTAATTAATTATTACATTTTTTTAGTTTTTAATTTAATGAGAGTATTACTCTTGTAAAGTATAAATCTTTAGGAAAATTATAAGAAATTCGAGGAGTATAGTTGAACATCATTAAGGATTAATATTATTAAGAGTTTATTTGTTTATTAAAAATATTTTTTAAAAATAAATTATATTTTTTGAAAATATTTTCTATAAACTGTTTTACGGTGTTTTGAGGAGAGTTAGTAAACCATTTTCCATTAGGATTTTTTTAGAAAGTATTTGTTACAAATATTAAATATAATAAATAATATTATTTATCACAAAAATTTAATATTTTTATTTTTGAATATTATAATAATTTATTTTTTATTATTGAATTATTATTTCTATAATTTTATTAATGGCATGTTAAGATTAGTGCATCCTATTGAAATAAAAATATTATAAATTATATTAATTATTTATTTAAATAATATTATTATATTATATTTTAAAAAGTATCAAATAATATATTTTTAATATCTTTATTAAAATATCATTATATTAATATTTAAAATGTTTTCAAAAACTATATATTATATATACATTTTTTTCAAAATGTTTTCAAAAACTATATATTATATATATGTTTTCAAAATGTTTTTAAAAAACTATATATTATATATATTTTTTCAAAATGTTTTCAAAAACTATATATATATATATATATATATATTCAAAACTTTTTCAAAAACTATGTGTTATATATATATTCAAAATATTTTCGAAAACTATATAGTATATATATGTTTTTAAAATGTTTTCAAAAACTATATATATATTTTCAAAAACTATATGTTATATATATTTTCAAAATATTTTTGAAAATTATATATTATATATATGTTTTTAAAATGTTTTCAAAAACTATATATGATATATATTTTCCAAATATTTTTAAAAACTAAATATTATATATATGTTTTCAAAATTTTATAAAAAAATTATATATTATATCTTATATATATATATACACTAAATAAAACCCCGAACTAAAATAAGTGACTAAAGTTGCCCCTCTTTGCCCATTATCGTGTAACGAAAATAGAGCAAAGACAAAAAGAAACAAATTTTCGTTTGGCATATGAGCTTGGAAACAAGCATGTTCCTGTATGAGTTGTCGACTTCTGAGTTTGAAATCCATGTTGCCGTTGAATCTTTATTAACTACCATCTGCTGTGAAGTTGAGACTTGAAGAAAAAAGGACGGCTCCCTGTTGTTGAGCCGTACTACGGATGACTCTTGAGATGCCTTTGAACATGATATTCTTCGTTTTGAAGTTGAAATTGTAGTTCAAAATCGGAAGGTGGCTTCTTGTTGCTAAATTGTAGTCAACCTTAGTCTTCTTCTTGGCTTAAAGACCTTAGTTTAAAATTCCACCGAAAAGTACACCATGCGGTTGATATGCCCTTGAGCTGAATAGAATCGAACTCGAAAGTTCTTATTAACAGATAACTCTTCTTGCCTTGAGTTATGTTTTACTAAGTTGGGAGATAACCCCCTATTGTTGTAGATGACTCATTTATTGTGACACTAGGTCAATCCATACGATATCCTTCTTTGTGAAGTTGAAATTGTGGATGGCTCATTCCCTGTCTTGTAAATTGCATTATCTCGAGTTTAATATCCTTCGCTGTGAAGTTGAAATTGACTCTAACAAGAATCTGTAAAATTATTCACATATGTGATGCTATGGATGCAATGTTCTTATGTGTGCCTAAAATGTATATGTGAAATATGTTATTTTAGGATTTGGAGGGAAATCTTCAATCTCTGGTTGTCAGTCCTGATGACTCTTGATTATGAAATCTTGAATTTCTGATCTTGATCTTGGATTCTTCACTATGTTTAAATCCGATGTATAGAATTTTATTTCTAGTCTTGGTTCGGGCAATGCCTTTCATTTATCTCAACTATAGTGCATAAGCCCTGATCGGCTTCCGAATATATGTACCTTTTAAGAAAATATTTGTACAATAATACACAATTATATTTTCAAAAGTGAATAAATCATTAAGTTTAAATTCAAACCAAGATGCTTAAAATGAATTAACTTAGAGAAATGGTCATATTTATTTATAAGGTAAAAGGAAACAAAGTATATGACAAACATTTTGGAAAGTAAAAAAGAAATATAATTAGATGCCTTAGATCTCAATAATGCGGGCACCTTTGAACTAATACGTCGTTAGATGACTTTTGAGTACATCCTTTGTCAGGGGACTTTGAAAATGTTACAATGTTCGAAAGTGCCATATTTCCCTAAATCGTTAGGTCTACAGAAGATTTGGATGTTGTGACGCAGTACCTTTCCTGAATCCTCATCCAAATTGCTCTTTCAGATTTTCAATTTGGATCCATCCTTGGTTTCAAGACGCCCTTTGCGGGTTTTCATCTTGGACCCATTTTTTTAATTGAATTTAAGGCGCTCTTTCGGGTTTTCACCCTAAACGTTTTTTTCAACTTAGGGTGCCCTTCAGGTTTTCACCCTAAGAGAAATATTTTTTGACTGCATCTGAATTAACGAGATTTGGTAGTTTCAACCCATCCATTTCAGTCAGAATCAGTGTTCCTCCAGAGAAATTCTTCTTTACGATAAAAGGTCCTTCCCAATTTGGCCTCTATTTTCCTCTAAAATCTTTTTGAATTGGCCAAATTCTCTTTAGTACAATATCTTCTTCGTGGAATACTCTTGGGCACACCTTTTTATTATGTGCTCGGATCATTCGTTTTTTGTAGAGTTGACCATGATGAATGGCTTTCAACCTTTTTTCCTCTATTAAGTTCAACTGATCATATCGAGTCTGGACCCATTCTGCATCATCTAGTTTAACTTCTGATAAGACCCGGAGTGACGGAATTTCTACCTCAATAGGCAGTACTACCTTCATCCCATATACTAATGAGAATGGGGTTACCCTAGTCGAAGTTCGTACCGAGGTTCGGTAAGCAATCAATGCAAAAGGTAATTTCTTGTGCCAATCTTTGTATGTTTAAGTTGTTTTCTCCACTATCTTCTTGATGTTTTTGTTTGATGCTTCTACTGCTTCATTCATCTTCGGTATATAAACAATAGAGTTGTGATACTTTATGTTAAATTATTCACAAGCAGTTCAGACTGAGTGACATTGGCATATGATGCAGTATATACCCATTTTGTGAAATAGTCAATTGCCACAAGAATGAAACGATGACCATTTGAAGCCTTCGGATGAATTTGCCCGATAGCATCCATGCCCCACATAGAGAATGGCCATGGTGCGGTCATTACATGAAGAGGTTGAGGTGGAACATTGATTTTATCCCCATAAATTTGACATTTGTGACATCTTCTAGCATAATTGATATAGTCGCTTTCCAATGTGGACACAAAATATCCGTATCTCATAATTTTCCTTGACGTCATATATGTCCATTCGCATGCGTTTCGCAAACTCTGTTTTGTACCTCTTCTAATATCATCTTTGCCTCTTCTGCATCTACACATCTCAACAGGATCTGATCATGGCTTTTCTTGTACAAGATTTCTCCATCAAGAATGTATCCAATTGCGATCCTTCTAATAGTTCTTTTATCAGTTTCGGTGGCTTTCTCTAGATAACTTCGATTTTTGATGTATTACAGAACGTCGTGATACCAGGGTTTAATGTTTATTACTTCATTGATTTGATAATAATGAGTCGGGTACTCATATGACTACATGTCAATTGGCATCATATCAGACTCCCCACCAACCTTGAATGCGGCTGCCAAGGTAGCTAAAGCATCGACCATTTGGTTTTCTTATCTAGGCACATAATGGAAAGAGACTTCATCAAATTTTTCGAGTAGATCTAATATTAGCTTTCGGTACTCCACCAGTTTCTCATTCTCCACAGAGTTGATAGATCACTAAATTCGAATCTCCATAGACCCATAAGGTCTTTATATTTTATCCAATAACAGCTCGAATCCCAAAAACACAAGCCTTATACTCAGCCATGTTGTTAGTGCAATTAAAATTCAATCTGCTAATGAATGGGCAATGATTTCCTTCATGGGAGATCAGTATTGCCTCAATGCCATATCCTAATGCATTTGATGCACATTCAAAATGCATTTTCCAGGAATCACATGTGGAAGTACTTGTTTCTTCTAAGGATATGGCCATTAAGTCTTCGTCTGGAAGTCAAAGTCCAACGGCTCATAATTTTCAACAAGTTCTGCTTGCCAAGAAATCTGATATGGAACTTCCCTTTATAGATATTTGGCTTACGTACTCGATGTAAAATTCAGATAACAACATCTGCCATCGGGCTAACCTTCCAGAGAGAACAGGCACACCCATCATATACTTTAGTGGGTCTAACTTGGAAATCAACCAAGTGGTGTGATACATCATATATAGTTTGAGTCTATGTGTAGCCCAGACTAAAGCACAACAAACCTTTTCGATGGGAGGATATCTGACCTCACAATCAGTGAACTTCTTACTCAGGTAGTAAATGGCAATTTCTTTCCTCCAGGATTCATCATGCTGACCCAGAACACACCCCATTGAATTCTCGAATATGGATAAATACAAGAATAGAGGTTTTTCTTGGATGGAGGACATTAAGATAGAATTGCGAGATAAGTATTTTTTATTTTTTTTCGAATGCAGTCTGACACTCCTCATCCCATGTCCAGAGTTGTTTTTTCGAAGAAGGCGAAAAATTGGGTCACACTTGTCGGTCAGTTGAGATATGAACCGCGCTATGTAATTTAACCTGCCCAGAAAACCTCGAACCTCTTTCTTTATTTGTGAGGGAGGTAAATTTTGGATGGTTTTGAATTTATCATGATCGACTTCATTACCTCTCCTGCTGACTACGTAGCCTAACAACTTTTCAGATGTTACCTCGAAGGTACATTTGC